GCATTTGACAAGGCTCAGTCAGGACGTAACAGATTTGAATTTCCCGTCTTTAGCGTTGTTTTTTTTCCAACCCTTAATGTTGCTTTCTGTATTTTTGTGGCTTTTATTTTTAAAGCAAAAAACAACAACAAAATGAAGTCCAAAAACAGAGGCTGCAGTGAATAAGAAGTTTAAAAAGTTTGGTTTGGGATTTTCAGAGTTAAAGACCTGAAAACAGAGGATCAAATGGCAGGTTGCCTTCCAGGGACAGAAGACTGTAAATAGCTGAAAAGTGGAATTAAGGACTCTGAAACTAAAATCCACTAAAATTAAGAAATATCAGATTGGTGGGAGTTCCAATTGCAACTCTCTTTAACCCAGCTTTTGTTATAGTCAAATGCTTGTCAAAATTTGTATTAATTTAATTCGCAGTTGCAGCTAGAATAGAATAGAATAACAGAGTTGGAAGGGATCTTGTAGATCATCTAGTCCAACCCCCCGCTAACAGGACATATTTATACCGCTTGGTTGAAAATAAGAAAATTGGGTTTTTAATCAGAGGAACATCTTTGAGTGCAGTGCTAAACTGAAAAAAAGGGACTTATGACCGTTTTTCACACTTATAAACCTTTGGAGCATCCCAGAATCATGTGATCCGAGGTCCCTTCCAGCCCTAGGATTTTATGATCTAGATCTTACATTTCTCCGGCTTTTGCTGTTGTTCTCTGGGCTGTAATTAGCAATTAGTACACCCTGTCTGTCACTTTGATTTTCTTAGCTTGTCCTGGGGCTGACCAGTTAATTGTTGTGTCTTTCTTTCTTTCTTTCTTTCTTTCTTTCTTTCTTTCTTTCTTTCTTTCTTTCTTTCTTTCTTTCTTTCTTTCTTTCTTTCTTTTTCTTTCTTTCTTTCTTTCTCTCTCTCTCTCTTTCTTTCTCTTTCCTTCCATCTCCTTCCCTCCCTCCCTCCTTTCTTTCTTTCTCTCTCTCTCTTTCTTTCTTTCTTTCTTCCTTCCTTCCTTTCTTTCTTTCTTTCTTTCTTTCTTTCTTTCTCTCTCTCTCTCTCTCTCTCTTTCTTTCTCTTTCTCTTTCCTTCCCCCTCCCTCCCTCCCTCCTTTCTCTTTCTTTCTTTCTTTCTTTCTTTCTTTCTTTCTTTCTTTCTTTCTTTCTCTTTCCTTCCATCTCCTTCCTTCCCTCTTTCTTTCTTTCTTTCTTTCTTTCTTTCTTTCTTTTTCCTTCCGTCTCCTTCCCTCTCTCTCTCCCTCCCTCCTTTCTCTCTCTTTCTTTTTTTCTCTTTCATCTCCCTCCTTTCTTTCTTTCTTTCTTTCTTTCTTTCTTTCTTTCTTTCTTTCTCTCTCTCTTTCCTTCCTTCCTTCCTTCCTTTCCTTCCTTCCTTCCTTCCTTCCTTCCTTCCCTCCCTCCCTTCCTCCCTCCCTCCCTCCCTTCTTCCTTCCTTCCTTCCTTCCTTCCTTCCTTCCTTCCTTCCTTCCTTCCTTCCTTCCTTCCTTCCTTCCTTCCTTCCTTCCTTCCTTCCTTCCTTCCTTCCTTCTTTCCACGGAGCTATTCCTTCAGCGCTGCTGCTGAAACAGAGATGTTCAGAATTCAGACGTTTCGCTGCCTTAGTAGTGTGTGTTGCGTAATATCCGTGTTCATATTCCTGGTGTTCTTTCCTGTGGGAATGACGACCGCAGTTGCCAAATATCCGGGGACTAAGAGGCCTGGGGTTGAAATGCCACGGTTGCCATCTTGCCTGGTTTCACCCGCCATTCCTAACACCAAGTTGTTGGGCTGCGTAAGTTTGGACGACAACTTGGGAGATCTGATCCAAACTTCTTCGGACAGAGCAGCTCTTTGCTGCTCATTAAAGCCGCTCAACTTAAAACTGTCTCATTTTGCCACAGAAATGGCAACACAATCGGGCCCAAGGCTGTCGTAAGTCAAGGACGATACCTGTGCTACGATAAACAGGGCTGATTATAAACAGACCAGGCGGCTGAAAAGGACGGGGACCCGGCTGAGGATTTTGTTCTCAAAATTCAGATTTCATGGCCGACTCGTCGGTATGTCAGATACGCACAAACACAACCATCTTCTTTTCCAACATTCGAGCTTGGTGGGATGCAGGGCAGATGCCGGAAAGGACTTTTTGTCGCAATTGTGGGTGTCAGCACCGGTAAGTGCGGCTCCCCAGTTGTGATTCTATTGAAAACTTGTGGTGGTGGTGCCACCTCTTCTATCTGCAGGCAAACAGGATGTGGCCTGTTGTAAATGGCTTTCTCAGCAGAGCAGTGAGGCAGAGTCTCCCCCACAAACCCTGACGTAGAGTTTTGTGATGCCTTCGCTTTGTGTCGTCTGGAAGGGAAAACTCTGGTTATTCTTTCTTCGCGACCGGGCTGGCATAAATTCATCAAATGGTTTGAATTTAGGACTCCCCTTATCATTCCGATTTTGTTCCCCGCACGTATATTATCCCATTTTCCAGCTGAACTGAATGTAAATAAATTAAGTAAATAAAAATAAATAATAATAATAAAGTTGGAAGGGACCTTGGAGGTCATCAAGTCCAACCCCCTACTCTGGCAGGCAACCCTAGACCATTTCGGACAAATGGCTGTCCAGTCTCTTCTTAAAGACTTCCAGTGTTGGAGAAGGAAGGGAGGGAGAGAAGGAAGGAAGGAAGGAAGGAAGGGACTAACAGACTCAGAAGGGACCTTGGAGGTCATCTAGTCCAACCCCCTGCTCAGGCAGGAGACCCTATACCATTCCAGACAAATGGCTGTCCAGTCTCTTCTTAAAAAACTTCCAGTGTTGGAGCATTCACCGCTTCTGGAGGCAGGTTGTTCCACTGGATAATTGTTCTCACTGTCAGGAAGTTTCTCCTTAGTTCTAGGTTGCTTCTCTCCTTGATTGGTTTCCATCCGTTGCTTCTTGTCCTGCCTTCGGGCACTTTGGAGAATAGCTTGACTCCCTCATCTTTGGGGCAACTCCTGAGAGATTGGAACGCTGCTATCATGTCCCCCCTCGTCCTTCTCTTCATTAAACTAGACATACTCAATTTAATCAATTAATCAATAAAAAGAAAGTGTACAGAGAAGGGGAACAAAGAGGATTGGGCGACTGGAGGCTAAAACATATGAAAAATGGTTGGAGGAATTGGGTATGGCTAAGGGAGACATGATGACAGTCTTCCAATATCTCAGGGGCTGCCCCAAAGAAGAGGGAGTCAAGCTATTCTCCAAAGCGCCTGAAGGCAGGACGAGAAGCAACGGATGGAAACTAACCAAGGAGAGAAGCAACCTGGAACTAAGGAGAAACTTCCTGACAGTGAGGACAATTAACCAGTGGAACAGCTTGCCACCAGAAGCTGTGGGTGTTTCATCGCTGGAGGTTTTTAAGAAGAGACTGGATAGCCACTTGTTTGAAATGATATACAGTGTCCTGCCTGAGCAGGGGGTTGGACTAGAAGACCTCCAAGGTCCTTTTCAGATATTATTCTCTTTAATTCTGTTAATCAGTGGAACGGCTTGCCTTCAGAAGTTGTGGGTGCTCCATCAATGGAGGTTTTGAAGAAGAGACCGGACAGTCATATTTGTCTTAAATCAGGGGTCTTCCAACTTGGCCCTTTGATGACTTGTGGACTTCAACTCCCAGAATTCCTCAGCCAGGCACGCGTGCCTGGCTGAGGAATTCTGGGAGTTGAAGTCCACAAGTCATCAAAGGGCCAAGTTGGAAGACCCCTGTCTTAAATGGTGTAGGGTCTCCTGCCTGAGCAGGGGGCTGGACTAGAAGACCTCCAAGGTCCCTCCCAACTTTGTTATTCTGTTAAAATGACTTTCCTTTTTTCTCTCTCTCTCTAAATCTTAGGCATTCGACCTCCGATCATGAACGGCCCCATGCACCCCCGTCCCCTCGTTGCACTGCTTGATGGCCGGGACTGTACGGTGGAGATGCCGATCCTGAAGGACGTGGCCACCGTGGCGTTTTGCGATGCTCAGTCCACCCAGGAGATTCACGAAAAG